GTGATAAGGACTTTTGTATGACTAATTCTCTTCATTAGTACCTCATCATGAGGACACTTTCACAAAATGGCTATTGCCTAATAATTGGTCTAAACATTTAGACCCCAAATTTGGCCTACTTTAGTTGAATATAAATCCACAGTTACAAGTCCATTTAAATAAAATAATCGTTTCCCAAAAAATTCAAAAGCTATCTTTGAAAACAGAGGCTTCGTTTGAGGCCAGTGACTGTCCGCATGATGGCTGGACAGTTCTCTTCAGAAAGACTTGATTTCTTTAAATTTTCTTATTGTATAGCTCTTTTCATCATTTAAAAAAGTTAAGAAAAAGGGGAATTGAAGATCACCTGTTAAATTCCAATAAAAAGAAGCTTTAGTATATATCTGGGCACTGGTACATGCGTGTTTCCACTCATGCACATGCACAAGTATCATCAACCCCGTAATTAGGATATGAGGCAGAATTAATAAGGAGCAAATGGGGATCTTAATGGCACTTTGCTTAAATGTGTCTCTCAAAGCACATGTTGCTCCTCGTTAAATGGGTCCTGGAATCTGAGGTGTTCTTTAAAGTGTATCATCACTGAAGCTGTCCATTTTTGAGTTCAGAGAAAGAGATGGGGAGTATTCTACCCCCCCCCCCTGCCCCTCTCACCTAACATGCATCTCTCTCTCTCTCTCTCTCTCTCTCTCTCTCTGGTACTTGGTTTTTGACATCCCTTTCAGTCTTTCTCTCTCTCTCTCTGCAAATCAGATATGTTTTTAGTTTTACTTTGACTGGTAGAACGCCAAAAAAAAATAAAAATAAATAAATAAATAACAGATCCTATATGCGGATAGACATGAATTCAAACATTTTTCACCAAGATGCTACAATCCATGCAAAAAGCCATTATAACGGTGAATACATATTATGCCCATGGCTTTTTACATGTGTTTGTTGGTGGATCATCAGCAATTAATTAACTTTTAACATTCTAGCCATGTTTTTCTTTGATCTCATAGGTTAATGTCCATGCGACATACAAGATTTGACATCTTTGACTGACACTGAACTCTTTAACCTATGATTACGGGGGAATTTAATGTTGTGTCCACACTTAGGAACCTAGTGATGGATGTTGCAGTAGCCATTTTGTCATTTACAGTATTTCAACTAAAAAATGTTGACAATGAGTTAAAAAATGTACATTCTGATAGTGATAGGGAAATATTTTGATGGTAAATATATTGATGTTGTCATATCTGAGGACTGTAATGCAAAAATGTAATGCATCCGTGCACAGTCTTGGAAAACATTATTTTGAATCATACTTAACATAATTGTGTTTTCACAAATAATTATAAGACATTAGTGCATTGCTTTTCAAGCACTTACCAGATAATCACTGAGGCATCTTTTAAGATCAAGATAGAAAGTATCACAAGGTCTTACAGCAAATAAGAAAAAAGTTCATTAGAGAAGGGGTATCTTTAGTAGAGAAAAACAGAATTTTGATAGCCCTTTGGAAATACACTAAGAATATTCTGAAGATATTATAATGACAATTGCATATGTAAGGGTTTTGTTGACACCATTTTGTTTGCACCAGTTGACCCATGCTTTGGCAGGTTGCCATGGTGACAGTGGTAATATTTGCTAATGCTCGCAATCAGAAATATATTCTTTGAAAGTATAACATGTACTGATGATAATTATATGACATAAATATCTGTTACATCAGCACATGTATTTTACTTACATAATGAAATTTGCAGTTACTATGGTGACAGTGTTGACCAAGGTTAAAAATGTGCCAACTAGCCAGGGGTCAGTTGCAAAAAAAAAAAAAAAACTTAAAACCAACATTTGATAAAAAAAATTCATGCTACTTTGACCTAGTCTAAATTGGTTATCATCTTATTGAGTGAAATATTGCATCGTTTTTTTTTTTTTTTTTTTTTTTTTTTTTTTC